AATTTATTCAACGAGAAACAGAATAGTGCATCCTGACCGAGTTATATGCTTTTATTCTCAGTTGATGTAGTAAATGATGATGATGATGATGGTAAAAGAATAACGGTAATGGTAGAGATTTAACAAAAAAAGAACAGCACAGTTAGCCTGATGTAAAATCAACAAAAAAAAAAACTGCTGCACTGTTTACATTTACATTTTGTCGTCTCAAGAATGTATGAATAGAACCTTCGAAAAGCATCAATATTGATAAAGAAAAAGAAAAAGAAAGAGAGAGATTTGTATCAACACTAGCCGTAGTAATAAATCTTATATGAGTCAAGATTTACATATAAATAAATATCTCATCTGAACATTATTATAGTCAATCAGAACCAGCAGTGTCGTTTGTGTATACTTGTAGGCGATTAACATCAAAACAAAGAGATTCCATTGCTACAATGTTTAGACATGTTTATAGAGATCGATAGAACATTATCCAAGGATACACTATTCTAGACAATAACACTAGTATAATGAATCAATGATATGTATGTGATAAGATTTCCAAGAACATGAAATAAAAAAGAAAAAGATAATAAAATCAGTCATACTCACTTCTTTTATCAATATTCTTTATTTTGTTACTGTCATTATAGAAATATCGTTTTCATGCTATATTCTCATTCTCATTCGTGCATGTTCAAGACTAACAACAAGACTAGCAAAGACAAAAAAGGTCATATACATCCATATGCTTGCGTAAGCATATATGAGGGTGCTCTCGTTGATCAAGGCAATATTATTATTTTAACAAACGATGTAGACTAAAATCGATTATCATTCGGTTGATTAGAATAATAAGTCGACCAACACAACAACATATAAGTGATCGACCTCAAGCAACACATATTGAATTGAACAAATTATTCTTCATATATTTAATATAGAAGGCGGGAATAATAGACATAGAAAGAGTGAGTGAATGGTTAAATACTTCTGTATGAACAAGAAAATGTCATTGAAATTTCTATTGACTGAATATCGAATGGTATTCATATGTAAATATAAATGAAAATAAAATAGAAGAAGAAGAAGAAGAAGAAAAAAAAACGAAAATGAATCATCATCTAGAACAAAAGTATTCATACAATAAACTAAAGAAAAAACATTTTAATTGATTATTTAATCATATATAAATTCAATTTTATATAAAATTTATTTATTATGTCTAATATATCAATCAAAATAAAATTTTATAAAAAATCAATTTAATTCTAGAAGTGAAGACATTCAATATCTTTAAAGAAGTTTTCGTATAGAACTCGGATAAATTTTGATCGATTAAATTCATCATAAATTAAATTACCTAAGTCAATTATATCCTTTTTTTCTTTGTTGTTGTTAAATATATGCTTGGTTTTATAAGTGCATTATGGAAATTTTGAAGTACGAGAACAAAAAACTAATAAAATTTTGTCTGCAAGTGACATGCGAATCAATTGAATTATATAAAAAACGTAAATGAATGATTCATGTTGTCAGAAATTTCATGAAATTTTATTGGATAAAAATTAACGAATAATATTATCATGTCTCTAGTTCTTATATTTTAATTAATTATTACCAGGATTTATCTATGAGATATAAGAGAATTTTCGAATAGATGAAAATTGATTATTTAAGAAAGAGAATATCTTGTATTGAAATTTGTTTTTTATTTGCTACTTGTTACTAGGACACGTGATTTTATTAAGAGTTTAGCAAATAACATAAAAGCGAACTGTGCTATGAAGTGCAAAACAGCATTTTTTTTCCTGTTAATCCTCTCGATACTATAAGGTTCATTTATATTTTAGAAATAGACATAGTCATTATTTCTCTTTTGTCATGCAACATTCCAATTACTTATAGCTATTACGAATACTAGAATGAGTAGAAAATTATTACCATCTATTTCTTCGATGAATTCAACAAACATGGCCAATCTCAATCGAATGACATTATTAATGTCAATATCGGAAATAACACCACAACTTTTTCTTGCTGGTTTTTAATTTTTATTTTTTTCAAATAATTTCTTGATTCTTTTTTTTTTTTTAATCGAAAATTATTTCTTAGGTCAAATGGCAGCAACTGTTGAACAAGTACAAAAATTAGGAATAACATATATTTTGGTAAATAATTTTTGTCTCTTAGTTTAATTTTATTAATTCTTTTTTCTTTTTTTTTTGAAACTTATTTGTAAAACAAAAAGAATGTTGCAGTTGAATCATCTCCTATTGTTTATCCAAAAGGTATTAAAGTAGAAAAATTTGATATAATTGATTTTCCAACAGCACCAATAAGTAATTTTTTTAATTCATTAACTGATAAAATTCATGGTCATCTTAATACTAATAAACAAAATAAAGTACTTGTTCATTGTATGGCTGGCATTAGTCGAAGTAATTTTGAAATCAATTTAATATCCTTCTTTTTCTTTTTTAGTTTTTCACTTTTTTTTTTATTGAATTTAGGTACAACAATTGTTTGTGCTTATTTAATGCGTTATATGAATATGACATTACGAGAAGCATATTTATTATGTAAAAAACATCGGGCCATATGCTTTCCAAATTTAGGATTTTGGAATCAACTTATTACATATGAAAATCAACTAAAAAAAGATATTAGTGTTAAAAGTAAGAACATAGATTTGATTTGAGGATTGAACCTATAGTATAAAAGTCTTGACATTAAATATTTTCAACTACTAGAAGACAATTGATTAGAGAAAAAAATCAAAATTGAATAATTTTGTGAAGACTTTTCTTCTCGAATAATATTGAAATTTCAGAAGCGACTGATTTTCATGAATCCTGAACTTCTGTAAATATTAAACGGAGGGTATACATTTAGGTTTTGATTCTCTCTACACCCATATTGGAATATCCATGGAACAGATCGTACCATATAATTTTCATGTCTTGTGACATTTCTGGTATTTAGAACTTCAGTACATAAGGCATGATTGCATTTGTTTGTAAGCAAAGCATGATAATGTCAGCTACGCTTGAAACACTAGGACACGGTTGTCGATTGTTTTTAGGAGTGGAGGGGGGGGGGATATAATTTTGGCAGACAATGTTCTCATTTTTCTGGCGTGAAAACGATTGACCGGGGGCGCGGGGAAGAAACGACACTAGTTTTCGCAAGGTCATACCGTACCCCCCTCCCCCCTCGGGCTTCCATCCAATCGGTCATTTCTCCCAGGAATCGTAAAAGATTGGCAGACAGACAGACAATTTTGGGGGATAGCCCCCTCCCCCCATCCTCACCTAATCGGAAAGCCTGCACTAGGATTGCTTGAGTTTCGAGTGTTCATAAACTTGAATCTTACAGAATCCAGATACATTTCGAGCTCGTCGAGTTACGTATAATGATGTTGTCCTTGATATATACAAATGATATTTGTACAGTGAAACTTAAAGAAAATCTGAAAAGCTATTAAAAATTGAAATACGTCCTAAGCATCAAGTGTCAATATTTATCCGAATGTTTTTTGAGAAAGTCAATTTTTTCGATACGACAGCAAAAAAACATAAATACGAATTTTTATTCTAAGATTTTGACCGTCAAACCTTCAGTTCAGAAAGAAACAAAATATCATAGTCAGAATCAACATAAAAATCTATATCGAATAATATACTTAATACGAAAAGCTAAATTTCAACATTAGAAGAACAATAAGTCAGAATATTTGAAGATAATAGTGAGAAGATATAAGAATCGAAATGTGAGAAAAAAATCAGTTTTAAGTCTTGAGTATACTATTCAATGTAGATTTTTGTATTGATTCTAAATCGTGATATTCGTTTCATTTGGAACTGAAGTTCTAATCATTAAAATGTATTAGAATTTTACTAAATCCTCCAAAAATACAATAACCAGATCAGACTACCAAGATTTGATACTTTTAGCGTATTTCAATATTTATAGATTTTTCTAAGTTTCACTATAAAAATATTTTTTAAAGCTAACTCGATGAACTTTATCCAATCATGACGAAAAAAAAAGAAAAACAAAAGTATTGCTTAAATTTCGCATTGTTGATAATTCGAAAAAATTTTTTGATTTCATCGATTATTTAGTGATACCAACTCAATTTGGTAATGTACCTGATGTTGCATATGAAGAAATAAAACAATTACGTGCTCAACAACCATTTGGATCGATACCTTTATCTACAACATCATTGTCTTCTACTATTAATAATTCTATCAATAGTAGTAATACAAATACAGATACAATTTCTAATCAAACTCGAACAACTGTTCGAGATACATCCATTAATCATTCAAATGCTGTTGTACGATCTCGATCATTAAATTCAAATAATCGACCAACAATTGCTCCTTCTTCAACATATATTAATAATTCAGTTTATCAAACACCATTATATACAACTAATAAACAAACATTTCTAACACCAGCACGATTTGGTTTACATCGTTCATTTACTAATGGTGCATCACATAATAATAGTTTACTTCCACCTGCACAAAGTACATCATCAACATCTTATGTTAGTAATCGAATTTTACCTACAACTATAAAACATCGACATATGAATAATAATAATAATAATAATAATCGTAATCATCCATCAACAGTTACTATTAGTGCAGTAGGAACAACAATAAATAATGATGAACAACGTTCAGTTTATGAAACAACATATCGTGCAAGTTTTTTTAAACCATTAGATCCTTAATATCAAAAAAAAAAAGATTAGTTTTCGTTTTTTCTCATTTGAATGATTCTATGCAGCCTGTGCTAACGTGATACGCATTTGTATGTTATCTCATTATCTTTTTGTTTTTGAATGTCAGATGCGTGTCTTCCATTTTGTTTTATCTTATATGTTTTTTTTAATAAACAAAATAATATTCTTCTCGGTGTGTATCAAAAGAAAAAAAGATCTAGAATATTAAATTATATTTAACTTTTGTTTTTTTCTTTTGTTCTAGAAAGTTGTAATGATGTTAGGTATTACAGAAGTTATCGATAATTTATATATATCTGGTCTTGAATCTACTGGAACGATATTAAATAAAGGTATACGTTCTGTTATAAATATATCATCAGAATGTCCAATGCAAGATCTTGGTCCAACAGTTGATTATGAAAAAATTAGTATACCTGATTTACCAACAACATCAATACAACCTTATTTTGATCGATTAACAGATCGTATAGATCAAAGTTTACGACAAGGAAAAAAAACACTTGTTCATTGTTATGTTGGACGATCAAGATCAGCATCGATAATTTTAGGTTAGTTTTAATAATATTTAATCATACTATTTCGGATAGTGTGTCTTTGAAATTGTTTATCTAAAGTAATAGATTTGTTGGTCTTATTTTGAGGATGGAAACAAAATCTAAGAGATTTATATGATGAAATTTTCTAGATGAAAATTATTTTTCACTGAATTACAATATCTCATGTTATCAAAACTCGTATCTTTTTTTATCATTCTTTTTTCTTTTTTAATGAATATTATTATAAGATGTTCGTCAAATTTTTAGATCAAGAGAATTCTATTCTTCATTATGAAGAATATAAATTTTATGTAATACATATTCAAAATATTTTGTATTAATATAGAAATCGAATCTAATGAATAAGAGTAGTAATCTATAACAATGTAATTGTAATATAATATTAAATTATAAAGTGTAATTAATTTTAATTCTTCTGATTTTTCATGATTTCTATAAATTAAAAAAAAAGAACTCTATCTATACGTTGATTTTTCTTACTAGAGATCGTTTTCAACTGTCCAATCGCTTATGAGTTCAGACTGTGCATAAACTAGACCCCATTCGAGTATAAAAAATCCCAAAAGGATAAGTGCCCCTGGGCCTTTTGTCCAGAGTTATAGACATTTTCCTACAATTTTAGCCTATGGCATGGTATATACCAAAAAAATCGAATGGCGGTATTTCAAGCTGAGATTTAGCCTACGTGACAGGACTATTGCTGAGCAAAATGTCCTGAAAATTTCAGTTCGAAAAAATGTTTTCTTCTCGAGATATTAGAGTTTCAAAAAAACAGAATATTTTAGTATCGTTGATATGATATAATTGATCCTTAGGACTTCAATATCTCGGGAAGGAAACATTTCTTCGAACTGAAATTTTCAGGGCATGTTGCTCAGCAATAGTCCTGTCTGTAGGCTAAATCTCATTTTGAAATACTGTCATTCGATTTTTTTATAGATGCCATGCCATAGGCTAAAATTCCAGTAAAATGCCTATAATTCTGGACAGAAGGCCTAAGGACACTTATCCTTTTGAGATTTTTCATACTCCAATGGGGTCTAGTTTATGCACAGAGTCTGAACTCGAACGCGATTGGACAGTTGCAAAACGTTCCTTCGTTAGTAATAAACTTTTTAACGAACAAATTTCCTTTTATTCTAGCCTATCTAATGAAATATAAACAAATGTCATTACGTGAAGCATTTTATTATTTACGTTCACGTAGACCAATAATTGGACCTAATTTTGGCTTTATTAAACAAGTAATAATAGAAAAAAGAAGATATAATAAAAAATTTCAATTACATATATCATCTTATCTTTTTGTTTTTGATTTTTAGTTAGTTGCATATGAAAAATCTTTATTTGGTTCGACAACTGTTTCATTTGTTGATACATCATTTGGTTCTGTACCTGACATTTATTTATCAATTGGAGGAACATCAAATAGTCGTCGACAAACAACACTTCCTGTTCAAATAACAAATAAAACATTACCATCATCACCAAGACCCAATTCATTTACTAATCGTTCAATAATAAATACATTACCAACACAAAATACAAGAATTAATTCAAGTTATACAAATAATAATAATAATAATAATACTTATCGTTCAGTTAATTCATTATTTAACAATTCAAATAATTATAATCGTTCATCATTTTTACATGAACCACCTGAACAAACACGTTTTAATTCTACAATATTTAAACCACATGAATCTATACATGAACCATTTCTTTCAACAAGATTAAATGCATTACGAGCAGGCAGATATGCTCCACCAATTTTAAATCGTTATTATCTACCATAAAAAAAAAAATATATATTTTTTTTTATTTTATTTTTTTTTTGATTGTGCCAGATAATATTCTTTTTTTGTCTCTCTCTCTCTCTCTTTAACACACAAGTGCTTGGTCTGTTTTTATTTTCTAGTTGGCTTTGTATTCTCGAAATGATTCTATCCAAAGAAAAATTTGTCGTTTGCTTCGTTTTTTTGTTTTTGTTTTTAATTTTACTGGTTTTTTTCTCTCTATTGACAAAAATCCGGTGTGTGTGTGTGCTTTGCTTAATTTACTTAATGGATTATTATTATTATTATTATTATTATTATTATTCAAGTGAGAATGCTATACATTATAAGAAATGCCATTTATTTTTGTATTTTATATTAGTTAAAATAAAATAAAGAAATTTTAATTGAATATAAGATTGCTTATCTCCTTACGAAAGGGTGTGAATGTAGGTGTAGTTATTATATTTTTTTTTTGTAAAGCAAAGACGAAAATCCAGATGAGAGACCATAACAAAAAGTGACAGGTGTCTATTTTTTTTATCGATAACAAATTTTTTGAATCGCTATTAGATCTGATAAAACTTTAAGTTTGATGGTCATGTCATTGATAAGTTTATATTAAAAATAAAATAAATTTTCAAGTTACATATTTTTAAAAATTTCATTCACAACTGTCAACATCATGCAATCAATACATTGATCTACACATTTGTATTTGTAGTTTATTGAAGATTTTTAAAAATATTTGAGAATTTATCTCAATCCAATGTTATTATTATTTTGAATAAATGTTTTTTATGAATGAATCAAAACAATTCACTAAATATTCAAAATGATCTTTTCGTTTATTGTTTTATTTTTACAATTGACATATTCATATAATACTAAGATTACTTTTCTTTTATTTATCAAATCTTTAAATCTTATTGATTTGTTGTTTTGTCATTATGAATATATCTATAATGTGTATTATTATCAAAAAAAAAATAAAGATTTAAGAAAAAGTATATTTTCTTTTCTTTTTTTTTATTTGGGACATTTTAAGGATTTATTAAATGTATGAGCATTTTGTTTATAACATTCAGTAACAGCACGATCACATTCACAAACACGATGTGTGCATGAACCTGGTGTATTTTGACAACGTGGAAGTGCAGTGTTAGGATCTAAGTCCCAACTATAAAAACTAACATAAGGTGAGCATGAAAGAAGATTTTCTCGAGACTTAATAATTTCATCATAACAGTGATCATGAACTTTGCAACAAGCATCTGTACCATCAACTGGTTCACCTTTACCACCAAAACCACACCTAGAAAAAAAAATTTTTTTTGTTTTTATTTAGTTTTATTTTAGTTTTTATTAAAAAAATTAATTACCAACAACCATAACCATTATAGTCTAATGGAGATTTGTCTAGTATTTTTCCAATCATACTACCAAATTGAATTAAATTTCGTCCTTGACTTTCAGGTCCAGGTGCAGGTGTAGCATGGATTTGAAATAATGAGATCAGAGAAATAAATGTAAGGATATAGAAGGATGAAGACATGATAGAGGATGAGACAAATGTATTTCTGAAAAAAAAAAGAACAATAAAACGAAACATATTCAGATATAATCTTTAAGTGTAAATCTGATAGCAAGGACATATATTAATACAAAAATAACAAAATAATAGTGTAAAAACATTTATATATATATATATATTGCGTTATCTGCCTACTGTTATTGACTAAAAGAAATGGATAGAATTAAAATAATATCAATGGTGAGAACTATTTTCATGTTTATTACAAATGGTAAAAATCAATTATTTTTTTTTGTTATTGTAATGCCTACGCGTAATTTTAACAGAAAGAACGCAAATAATATCATACGCTAAATTTGTTTTTATCAAACAAATAATAATAGTTTAAATTTTATCTTTACAATGAATATGAATTCGAATTGATATATGAGCAAAATCAATCATAAGCGACATGACTTGACAAAATTAAAATATGTATATTTCAAGATAATGAAACTTTTTCTAGAATTAGTTTTTATATATTACAAAGATGTTAAGTTAGTATTAATGATATGATTCATAATTGAAAAATAAATTTAGATAATTCACTTCTTTGAAGTCTTTCGATAATGAACAGACAAAAAGATTTTGTTTCGACATTTGTATCATAGAATCTATTTTGAATTTTTGAATTCTTTCTTCATATGATTAGAAACATATTCGTTTATTTGTTTTTAATTATTAATAAGTTGAGAAGAGTCAACATTTTGACAATAAATAAAAGATTGAAAAACAAAACGTACATTTGTATTATCAATGAGAAATTTTTTCTAAATTTTCAAAAGATAATCTAAAATGATTATTGCCTGGTTTTTTTAAGAACATATATCATTTTATCTTCATATGTTCATAAAATATCTTTTCAATTGGACTAATCATGACAAAATTGAATTTAATTTTGTTTCTGTCAATTAAATAAAGTTATTTTTTTTTTGAAATATAAATATAAAAATCTTAATTATTTATTCATATTTTTGTATCAAACAATCTTATTTAGAAAAAAAAATATTCAACAATAATAACATGATAAATAATTATTTCTGTTAATTTCAGTTAGTTTAGCAGAAGAAAAAGAAAAACTTATACAAAACAAAGAACGAATAATAATCACTCAGTTATAATGCACTTATAGTTTTTTGTCTATATATGTGACGTTTATTTGTACATTAGTTATTCATCAACGTTTGTTTAAAAAAAAAAGAGTGAAAAAATAACACTATACTAAAAGTATACTTGTGTCATTAATTACAAAAATAATGTGATTATAAAATGATAGCAAAGGTAGTATAATTGAAATATAATTTTCTTTTTTGTTTTTATTATACATAAATATAAATGTTTTTTATAATGTTTATAGATTATTGATAAATTAACAAAATGATCATTTCATTATTGAGTTGACACTTTGTTTGCAATTAAATAATTCTACAAAGTTAATCATATAATTATTATAAAAGCATTACATTTGGGCGTGGCAAACATCATTATTTGCGTTTATATAAAAAAAAAAAGAAATATGTACAATTTTTCGTTCTTTACAGGTGTAGAACTAGTCTCATATTTAATATATACATAAAAAAAAAAGTCATGCTTGATTTCATATAAATTATACTTTTTCAACTTGTTACCATCAGTCAAAATAGAAATAACCAGAGAAAAAGTATTACATGAATAATAAATAGCAAATATGGATAGAATATCAAACAGCATTAATAATGAAATTAACAATAGTAGTGAATCACCTCCACCACCACCTTATAATTCACTTGTTTATAAAAAAGATGATGATGAATTTGATAGAATTCAATCATCAACTTATTTTGATAATAGTAATCAACCATTTGTGTATTTTAATAATTATCCTGGACCACCATTAACAGATGGTCATGTACAAATTGATCAAATTAATCAATCGATTAATCATGATCATATAATATCAAAAAATATTCGTATATATTTAATTCTAAATGGTATAATTACAATAATATGTGGATTTATATCTATTGCAATACAAATAAGTATTATAGCATCACATTTAATTATCTACTATTATTATGGATTTTGGGGTGGATTGTTTCTTATTTTTATTGGCCTAAGTACTATTGCTTTATATAATCATCATCGGACAGATTATTCGAAACTTTCTTATTTATTTTTTTGGCAAAGTGCGTTTGTAGGAATTCTACTTGGTGTTGGTATTATTATTATATTAACTGATAAATGTAATGATAAAACAACAGAAAATGATAATGATGATCATAAATGTAGAAACTCATATAGAGTACTTAATGGATTTTTACTTGGTACTTTTGCTGTAATATTTTTACAATCAATAATACATGGACTTATTTTTTTGATTTTGAAAAGAAAACATTCGTTAAGCGAAATTTCATTTTCATGATAGTCTTGTTTTGTTTTTGTTTTTTTTGTCATTTTGTTATTATTATGATAAAAATAAAAACGTAAAAAACTTTATAATTTAAACTAGCAAAAAAAGTATTTTTAAATATTTTATTACAACTCGAGATTAGATGCCTCCGATTCGACCTAGGGTGTGTGTGTGTGGATATCGAAAGAAGATTAACAAGCACATTCACACACTCAACCTAAAATTGAAAACAAAAAATCTATGTAATGTTAACAGCATATTCGATCATACAGACGTAAAAGAATAGGATGATGACCTTGACATGTGAATATGGCTAGTGTCGTTTTTTTTTGTTTCATTCTTCAAAGAGAAAAACAAATATGAAACAAGAATTGTAAAACCTTCATGTTTTTGCCTAGTCGTTTATCTTAATAACAGACGATTACATTCTTTTTGCAAACATCTTTCTACTCTAGTGAATGAGTGGAAAAAACAAGTCGTGTAAAGCTGGTGGACTCTGCATTCTCTTGAGTGTATGCATACTATCCTTTCCTTTTTTTCTTGTTTTTGCCATCTTACATTCTGTTACACGTGATGAAGAAATGAATTATGAAAAATCAAGTTGTTTAGTTAATTCATACTCTATTGAACAGGTTTTGTGTAGTGGAAAATCTTCTAATTCGTTATGTTATGGCGTTCGGTTTTCTATTAGTTACTCAACCAAGTCGTATTCACAAATGCGTGTGAACTATCAACAATCGTTTATTTTGTCAAAATTAATATTTCCTAGCTATTCAAATGCTGCTGAACATGCAAAACTATATAATGTGGGCAGATGTGCACTTAATTTCATTTTGATAAAGATCTTTGATTTATTTTGTTTCTATTCTAGAAAGGTTCGTCTTATGATTGTTACTATGATCGAACCGACGAAACAGATGTTCGGTGGTCACCTCCACATCCAAACCGATTTTTACGCATGTTAATAATCAGCAGTATTGTTCTATCACTGCCAATAATATGTTTCTTGTTGGTAGCAGTTATTATAATATGTACAAAAAGTCGCAACCCAAAAGACCACGCACTTGCCAAGAATAATCCGAAGAAAGCTTCTCTTCTACCAGAAAGCCGAGTTTAAACAACCAGCTATTGTATACGAAGAATATATGTGACAAAGTTTTTTCGTAATAAAGTGATTGTAACAGTGAATATGTGGGCACAAAATCATCTCGTTACGATATTGCACTCGGCAAATATTCCTTGATTTTGAAGTATCAAATATTTCTGCACTTTTTCTTCTACGAAAAATGATCTGTTTCTTTTTGTTCAATATTCATCAATTGGACACACATAATATATTTTCTTCAGGATGAGTGTGGGTGTGAGAATGACAGTCAGTGTTTCTTTATAACCATTCATATCCCAAATTTAGCCGAAACGAAATGAGACCGATAAATAAAGAAAATAATTCTGACGACAGAGGCGTTCATAAAAAAGAAAAAAAAGTTACCTATACGAAAAAGAACCTTCCTAATATTCACTTAAAAGAGTTTACAGTCACTTAGCAACACCAGAAACCGATGATAATCAATGAGACCGTTTCAGTAAATTTCACAAAAAAGATCTTGCCAAGACAAATACAACTTGAAAACATACTATGAGTAAGAGATAATTGTTGGACAGGTACAGAGTATAAGTCATCTGATGAAGTCTATTAGCCCAGATGAAATCGCGATAATGATAATTAGACAAAAAAAACACACCCCTCTTTACTCTTACCCTGTAGCATTTCATTCTATTTAATTATGGTCTGTACTGTTTTCTCGTTTCTTTACACTTAACAGATTTCAAAACAATAATGTCCTTCTATTGAAGACTTTTATGTTGTAGAATCTCAAGTTCTAGACTCACAATGTTACTAGCTTAGTGAAAAAGTAGATTTTTATTAATCGATCCTCGAAGAGGCATTGATCTAGTCAATATAGTCATTCAGAGGAATTTTTTTTTGTCCAGCATTGTTTTTCTCTCACTTCAAATTATCTTATTTTAAAAGCACTACATACCATGAAGAAAATCGCTTTATAATTGTACTTTGAAAACGTATTAACCTAGTTTCTTAACAATTATTTTGTAATGTAGCGAGAATGCGTACTGAAAAAATATAAGCGAAGCTAGCTGTTCATCTCCAAGCTAGGGTAGTGAACTAAGAGCGATAATTGTTGGTGTAATATATTGTTCCTTTTGAGTCTTAGTACGTAGTTAGTAACACAAAGAATGGCATTGGCAGACGTATAAAAGGGCTCAACAACTGTTGTATAATACAAACCTGCATGCACATACATAAAGCCCTCGACACATTAGAAGATCCCGGGGTCTTCTATTCTGCCTTATCATTCATAAGTCATAAGAGGGTTCTTGTATTATGTTTTGAAAAAAAGTCAAATTTTTTGGTGATCTCAACGAAATATCCTAATTTCAACACTTTTTTGTCCCATATACCGTTAGTAAACGACTTTATTTTACTCATCCCGCACTCATCAATGAAAAAGAAGCGAATAATATTTTAATGCAAAAAAAAAGAGAAAACAATCGTTGATTAGAAGAGTGTTCTTGAAACAATATAGACAACATATCTTAAAATTTTTGTACGATTTATAATAGGACTATTTTTTTTAAAGAATACGATCTATCACTTGTAGCACTTATGCTCTATATAACTACACTCTCGGACAGAAATCTTTCTTCCTCTTTGTTTTTATTCTATCATAAATTTGATGCAAAGTATGATAGCATAGAAACAATGGGAGAAAGACTTTTACTCGGAGGTATAAATAACTTAACGAAAGAAAATTGAACCTTTTTATGTCAAAGTTATTTCAGTTAGTTGCTTATGTTGAGGATTGGCTCGTATAAATAGAATTGATTCAAGATGAAATGTACCACCACTTTAGTTATTAGTTTTCAGCTAATTTGAATGAATATGGTTGTCTACGAAGAAACAATTTACATAAAAAAGAGCGATCGAATACACGTTGAGAGTGATTTTAGAATCTTTTGCTTCTGCTTCGAAAAGCACCTTGGCATCTTCATGCGAAACGAGATACGTCCTCAGACATATGAGAGGAATTTCATAAGACACGTCTCACTTTATGTCCTTAGAGATATATTTTTTCCAATTATGAATGAGATCTTGCATGATAAGAACGTGTCAAAGATCCTAGAAGAAAGTGCACAGATGAAACGAAGTATTCACTAATGGACAACGGATTTTTACCGAAGATGTTCTTATTTCAGAAAGATCTCTTCATGTGTGACACGTTTGGAAGCGTACCACATTAATTAGGTCCTGTGATCGTTGAAACGAATATTTTCGCAAAGAAAATCTAACAATTTTCTTCACAGCATGTTGCTAAGAAGCATTAAAGTGATCTCAGAACACGTTTTTTTTTATACAGAAAGCATGTTTTTTACTAGCTACTCTTTTCTATTAACTTTTTCTCATGAACTGTCCAACCAGAGCTGACATACTGCTGAGACGATGGAAGCAAAATATTGTCCATACTAAAATAAATATAAATATTAACATATAAATAAATGCTAAAAAAATTAAAAAGCTTTAGAAATTATTAACAAAGTCAATTTTCAGAGGATCTTCTAAACTGTCTTTTGCTGCGTTTGTCCAGGGAGGGTCTTCTAATATGTCGAGGACTTTACCACATACGGTAATGATACTTGAACCGAGTGTCAGATGTCGGAAATAAGACCATACGTTAGCAATCAACTGCTACAAAACTTGTTTAGCAGTAGGTGATCTGTGTAAACATGGATAGAAGATACGAAACAATTTTGCATAAATAGAGATTAAGGCTTTCGTCATAGAATAATGTACAGTTACTACCGAAAATAATATAGATGAATTTCAGTAGTAAGTGTAGTAATGTATATTGATCAATAATAGAAATGATGAGTAGATAATTTCCAACTACAACTTTTCGCGATTTTGGGCAAATAAATCTGAGAAAATTGGGTAAAATATTAAAGAAACCAATTGAAAAGACGAGAACTGCATATACCAGTGGATACTTGAAGATTATTTTGAACATCGTTGACAATCAATGAATTCAGCGTAAAACTCATAACTTCAGTCCTTTGTGACTACATAGGAAAATATAAGATTTTAGAAACAACATCTACATAGGTTTTCCATAAAAATAGAAGATCAATAGATGAAAGTCTCTTGTTTCGAAAGAACATTTTTAAAGAATTTGAGAACCATCACGGAAATGCTTAAAATCATACAGAATTTACGTCTCAGATTCTTAGATGAATTCTATAAAAATGTAAATTCAAATTGTTAAGAAAAAGGATAAAACTTTTTTTATACAGAAAGTTAAAATTAAGCGCTAACTTCTGTGGATATACTAATGAACACTTCTAAATACATGTATGAAAACAATTCTAATGCAAACATAATACGAAACTTGCTAACCAAGAAAAATCATTCAGTTGTTAAATTTTAACAAATTTCACTTAACACATGGCAATGTCAAGATAATAGGATCAGAAAAAAATTCTTATAAAGATAATGCAATACTCTGATCGTTTGTTTTGATATTGTTTTGACAGAAAAAGTTTCATTGCAACATAACATTTTAACTGAATTTTTCGAAACAAAACTTTTATAAATAGTAGTTGTATTAGACATAGCTACAATGATACATCTTATAGTTAATATCAATGCTTTCCTCGCAAAAAATATAGTGCTTTGATAGATTAATCATCGGTGCTAAGCATTAGCTGTTTCATAGTTGTGATATGATATATGAAAGCTGGAAGATACTAGAATCTGCTTTCCTCTCTATTTTTTTGTTTTATCTCGAAAAAGAACTCAGTGTGAGACTCTCGTTTGTGTAGGGTGTGGGTGTGGATGTGGGTGTTACTCTTCTGATTATCTACACTCAATGTAAAATGAACTCCATCAGCAGTAACGTGCACGTCAATCACAACATGATTATGCGGTTTTTGTAATGAATTATTACGAGTACTGGCAGTGACACTCATTCCTGAATGTATCATATTTGTATTTAGTATGGGTACGATTCGACATTTGAAAAAAAAGCTGAGTTGCTACTGATACACTAGCAATAGATAATGATCAATTACATTATTGACTAAGAAAAATCGATCGACAACTTATTTAGGTAAGCAGCAATTTGAACAATTAGACATGAATCATTTTTCATTATTGCAAGATGCTGATTGGATAAGTGAGAATAAATGTTTTAGACAAGAAGCATTTTGGGATCAAATGACGTAGGTTGTAACAACATTCGATTGTTTACTTTCATTCTATGTCTACCTTTTCATTGTTGGTATTCTTTGTTCAATGAACACTACGATCAATATTTGGATTTACACCGATCACTTCTACAGCAACAATGTTGGATGCAACAAATAGTATACAATGAGATCTTCAAATATGAATTTATATTACAACTTTATACTATTTTAATATGGTTCTTACGAAGAATGATTCGATAAATTTTTAACTGAAATCCTGTGCTTTTTTATCTACGTAGACTGTTGTCATACAAAACACTATTAAAGGTTTTTCAGACGTCATACACTGTTGACGTATTTTGTCAAAGCAAACCGAACAATTTTGATATGCTTTCTTCCTTATCAGACTACACAACTTTAACTCATTACATTAAATACGTGCAAGAACTTTATTACAACTAATATGACAGACAATTATCTTCATCAATCAACAGATAAAATTGAATCTATCACAGTTAAAATGTTTCAACCAAATATGGATTCGATACCTTCATTTTCACTTCCACCTGACTATTCAATTGAATTATATAAACCAAATTTTAATGATGATGAAAAATGGGCAGAAATTATTTCAGCTGCAGGTGAATTTCGAACTGTTCAACAAAATCATGAATTATTTACAAAGACATTTTTAAATCATAAAAATAGTCATTTATTATTTGAACGACTTTATTTTTTAGTTAATCCTAAAGGAAGATATATTGGCACGGCAATGGCTTGGTTAGATAAACTTGATGGCAACGAATAAGGTCATCTTCAATGGATATCAATAATTCCAGAATATCCAGGAAAAAAATTAGCTAAACCACTTATATCTATTGTATTAAAAAAAATTGATGAATACTCAAATAAATGTTTTTTGGATTCACAAACAACAAGTTGGAGAGCAGTTAATATGTATTTTGACTTTGGATTTAAACCGTATATGAAAACAGAAAATAGTGAAAAAGCTTGGAAAATATTAAGTGATTTATGTAACAGAAATTTTCTTGATCAATGAAATGAATATAAGACACTATCTATAATACTGTTTCAATGAATAGAAATCTACATTTCTTTTTTTTTTGGTTGTGAATAAAAATCGATCTCGATTAGAATTATTGTCCAATGAGAGTGTGGATGTGGCTGTGATAGAAGAAGACACTACAACATCCACACTCACATTCCCACTTACCTACACGCCCACACATCTCTGCCCTCAAATAACCATAATGTATTACCGTTATGATAGGAATGATCGAAACCATCATGTATTCATTGACTTTCATTCAGCTTACGATAATATTCGACGCCCTGAATATTATCTTGGACTGCTAATCTAGTATAACACATATAGTCGTAATATTGGATTAATAGTCAATTTTTCGTATCATACTGCAGTACATAACAGTTGGAAAAAGGCTGAGGAATACTATGAAGAGAATAGAGATAGAATGAAATGTCATTATGATATATTATTTCAATTCATAGTTACCTTAATGACTTTTTATCGAAGTCGAACTGAATTCTTCACTTCTCCTACTAAGGCTGTGGATGGGAGTGTTAATGTTAGTTTTGGTGTCGATGTAGTTGTGCCTGTGCGAGTGTGAATGAACGTAATAATAACACCAACGACATCCACAAACTCTTTGTGCTTCAAATTATTGTCGAATTGTGTCTTTGACTGAAAGTTGGCTGGCTGAGCAATGTGCAGTATCCGACTGATCACTTTTCACTCGCGTAATTCCCATGATAAATTCTTCTTCTACTTCTCAAAGTATGAGTGACGATTGGAGCCAGCCATTCGTTTTACCTATCTGATCATCATTTTGAAATGAAAAAAAGTTTACTGAGATCGTGCGAATGTGATGAGTGCACATCTGAAGTATGGGTGTGGGTGCCTTGATGAACGAAACAGATAAACCCACACATCAACTCACACCCACACCCCACAACCACACTCACACTCCACACTCACACCCACACCCACCCACACCCTTTGCCAATCATCGGACGAGGCTGAAAACCTTTTAAGGGTATAGTTAGATTCAAAAACAGAAAAAAATTCAGAAAAAAGTTTTTGAAAATTTTTCTTGGTAGATTAAAAAACCCGAGTCTTCTAATACGTTTTTCAAATTTTTTGACCAAGGGGGTCATCTAATATGGGGGTCTTCTATCATGGGAGGTCTTCAATTATGAGAGGGGTTTACGTCATACCTCCGGTCATCCCCTACCAGTCCGGCGTGGTCCGCTCTGCGTGTACCCATTTCAGGCTTACCGGGTCTCTCCCTGGTTGCGCGCGCGCGTACGCGAAAATGAGCCGAGAAACAAACCGAAAAGGAAAATGAATAGCAATCGAAATGAATTTATTGAGCAAACAAAAAGAATAAATTACATTTTCTTTCGAATGTTTTCAAATGTTTCTTTATAGTCCGAAAGGTGAGGATGAGTTGAAGGTAATTTTTCTTGTGCAATTTCAATCGTTTGTTGAATACTTTTCATTGCAATACTATATTGTCGAGTAGATAAATATAATTTTGCCATATTGTGATATACAACAGCTAAATCAGGATGATCTTTTGGTAATTTCTTCTGATGTATTTCTAATCCTTTTTGAAAATATGTCAATGCTGTTGAATAATCTTTCATTTCTCGATAAGTTTCACCTAAATTTATATATGTTGTTGCACATTCGAGAGGATTACATTGAATATTTTCTTGAATATTTAATGCTTTTCTGTGAAATAACCATGCCTTTTCATAATCACCCATTAATCGATGAACATCACCAATGTCACTGTATGTAGTAGCTTTATCTGGATGATTTTCAGGTAAAGCTTTTTGACGTATTGAGAGACACTTTTCAAAATTCTCAAGTGCTCTTGGATAATCTTTCATACTGCGATAAATCTTTCCGAACCAGTTGTATGGATAAGCCAAACCAGGATGATTTGCAGGTAGAGATGTTTGTCTTATTTCAAGGGACTTTTTGTGAGATACAAGTGCTTTCGAGTAATCACCCATGTTGTAATACACTTGACCGATATTGTTATAGGAAACAGCTAACCAAGGATGATTCACCGGAAGAGTTCTTTTGTAGATTTGGTTTGCTTTTTCGTGAAATTCCAGTGCTTTCGAGTAATCACCCATGTAGTTATATGCTAGACCGATGTTGTTGTAGGAAACAGCCAAATCTGGATGATTCGAAGGCAGAGCTTTTTCTCTTATTTTAAGTGCTTTTTCATAAAATTCAAGTGCTTTCGAGTAGTCACCCATTCTGTTATACACTGAACCGATATGGTTGTAGGAAGAAGCTAAATCGGGATGATTCTGAGGCACAGCTTTTTTTGTGATTTCTAGATCTTTTTCGTAAAATTCAAGTGCTTTCGAGTAGTCACCCATGGCGTTATGCACGAAACCGATGCAGGCGTATGAAGCAGCCAAATCGGGGTCGTTCGGGGATAGGACCTTTTCTTTTATTTTAATTGTTTTTTCGTAAAATTCAAGTGCTTTCGGGTATTCACCCAAGTAGTTATATGCGAGACCGATGTTGTTGTAGGTAGCAGCCAATGAAGGATGATCTTCTGGGAGAGTTTTTCGTTTGATTTTGAGAGATGTCTCATAATATGAAGCTGCTTCTTTGTATTGTCCTTGGCCATCTTTCATCATGCCAAGCATATGATAGATATGTGCTTTATCACTGTCGTTCGATGCCTGTTCTAGTAATGTGGTATACAATTCTTCGGCCTTGTCGAATTGACCTATTTTTAGCAGCAATTGACCCAATCGATACCATCCAGTGCTACTCGATGTTTCTTCTGCTATACTTTTGGTTAATCGACGAAGTTGTTGATCGTCATCTGCCGTAAGTTTAAGGTCTACTTCATAAAGTGAACTTTTCTTGTCAATTTTTCGAACTTCACCAATTCGAAAAACTGTATGCATCGAGAAGAGAATTTCCTCTTCTTTCTGGTAATAGCTCACTTCCCGAATGGAAGCAAATGGAGTCGACGATTCTGTGGGATCGATGGTCATTTGGAAAAGAACACCAATCGTATCTGTTGTTTCTAAGGCATCCTTGGCGAATTTGAAAGAGACATCTCGATGTTTGCTGGTAGATAAGAAATTATTAAACGAAATGAGTCCACCTTTGGTTTTCGTGATTTTTTCGAAATCTGCCGTCAATAATCCCTGCCCCCGATAAACTAGAAAGGCCTTACCATTATATTGGCGGACCTGTATCTTGTGTAAATCTTCAATTTGTCGATGGACATCACATAAATAAAATCCCATCCTAATGATGATGTCACCATCGAGCGTTCGTAATGCTCGATTAAGCATTTTATATGTGAAACATTCGCGGGTATACCACCATATCGCGAATGTTGCATGATAAGTACGCTGGAATTCATCAATAAGTTTGAGTTCATTTTTGTTACCTTCGTATTGTTCTTGACAAAAGGTAACCAAATCTTTGATGGCTTGTTGGCCATGATCCATATCAAGGAGCATTTCCTTGAAGATTTGCGTGTACATGAACGATGGTTCTAGCTGATTGAGATCTTCGCTAGAACCACCAGCATCAGCACTAAGTATACTGACCATTGTATTATTTTGATTGCATTGCTTGACAGCTATTTGCAATGCTTTGCATATGGATTTGATTGTTTTGTGGACGCCTTTAATTTTTGTCCAATGTTGAGCCCATTCTCGATAAAGTTCCTTGTTACGACAAAATATGTATATCGTTTCAAGGTTTCGCATTCCATGGATATTTGGTACAAGAACTTGTCCAAGTTTACCAGAGGAGATAACGAAAGATGTCTCCTCCTTATTGTCATTCAGTAATTGAATGCATTCTTCTGGTGTAATGCAAATCTTTACTTCATTAACAACACCTCGCAATTGCGAGAATGTATGTTGAAAATCTTCATTTTCGATATTAGTGTTGACATCGACCCAGATGACTAAATAGTTTTCAGCCATACGTTGTCTTCGTTGTCGACTCATTTTCGATGTAATATTTAATAAGCTGTGTGGACAAAATTTACCTTTTATATTTATACATTCGATGCATGTTGTTTTTTTTCTAAATTTTTCTACGATATCAAATGTAAATATTTTGTTTTTTTCGTTGATAGTCAATAACAATCTATGCCTAGTATCAATCGAAGGTATACTTGTCAAAAAACAAATTAAACGGAAAAAACCCATCAACGTATTTTTGGTATGATTACTTTTTTCCACTTTCATTTACGTTTCATGTGAACCGTGACTTAAGTTTGTTTGCATTAGATATCTTGTCTCATACCTTGTATATTTTTTTTCGATTCTTTCAAAATGACGTTTTTTTCTCTTGCTGAGAAGAACGAAAAAAAAACACGAAGGACATCTTTTGTGTGATATTTTTTTTCTCATTATGCATGCGATTGATATGCTGTTAATGTGAACGAAACAAGAATAAACATTATTTTAGTTTTTATATAGGCAACAATTAAACAACGATATATACTTGCCGAATATACCGAATAGATATTGGAATAATTTAAGAACTGCTCAATTATAGTTTATAGGCTTTTGTCATACCATGTTCAGCATCTATGCATTATCATTCACAATCTGACTAAAGTAATTTTTGATTCAGGATGTGGGTGTGGGTGTGGGTGTGGGGTGGGTGTGGGTGTGGGTG